ACCATCTGCCCCATCCTTTCACAATGCTCTGAGTGTCCCTCTCAAGTTCAAGTGACCCGAAATGACTTCGCTAAATTGAGATAGGAACCATAATGCTGTGCTTGCCTCCCTGCCTTCTTAACATATCCACTTCAGAAACCCTAAAGTTTCCTGTCACCTCGTTTTTAGGGGATTTGTGTTGTGCTCAGACCTGAGGCCATTCTGAACAAAGAGGCTTCGGATTTGTGTTCCTCCAGAATTAGGGAATTAGAGTCCTACAAGGGACTAATGAAAATATCATAGAAAGGATGTGCTGGTGTGTCAGAAGCAACCGTTCTAAGACATCCATAACCTACTATGAAAAAATAGATCTATTTTAGGAAGGGAAAAAAAGTGCACATGATAGGTTTTAGATGAGAAATAATTTGGGAGTGAGATTGAAAATTATATCACTCTTGGTGCACTTCAGTCCTGCCAAGCACATTCTATAATTAATAAGTACTTCAGATGAAGTGACTTTCTTTTGAATGTGCAGTATTAAACATTTAAATCCCTATCTGTAAATATAAGACTGTGGCAGATATCTCCATAAGCCTTGCAGCTACATACTAATGTATATTTATATTCTGGATAGGTATTTTTAGCAAGAACTACAAGTACTTTCTGTATTTGATTACATCAGAGCTCTGTATTACATTAAATGTCTGGACTGCAAAAATATCCCCATCTTTTTTCTTCTCTTGGAGTTTTGTAATAATTTCTGCTCTTGTATTGTCCCTTTATCTATCAAGCTCACTTGCATTAATGCACCTCCCAAGAAGGCTGTACATTTTATTTCCCCCCCTCTCCCTCCTAAAGAAGACAAAATAGATAAAATCAAAAGAAATCAAGTAGCTAAACCAGCTCCTGGTGTTTCCCAGCCTGCAATCAGGGAATGCCAGGGTAACCACCACCACTCACGCCTACACATTATGTGACCAATGTCCTGCTATGGAAAGTAACTGCACATGATCCCTGCCAGAAACCCTGGTCCTCTAAGTATTAATCATGCTGTTTATGTAGCTTTGCTGTCCCACAGCAACAGGGATGCTTTTGTGGGTACCTTGCCCAGGTCAAAGCAGCAGGATTGAACTTAGGTCCTGATCCAGCCTAAGCCAAGGCTGGGTGTATACTGTGTTTCCAGAGGAGGAACTATCTTTTGAGATGTCCACTCCACTTTCAAGGCTTATGAAACCCACAAGAAAGGGTCACACAAGGCAGATATATTGCTCTGATGATTGGCTGGAGGTGGGACTCAATTTGGTATATCAGTTTGAGTATAGTCATCAATATGGGTCTGCAAACACTTCCCTGAGAGTTTAGTCTCTGTTGCGCTTTACTCTTTAATTTCCACATGGATGAAAACATTTGCAGATTCGCAAGTGAATGTGGGTGATGCAGATCAAGGTTGTGCATCTGTAGGGCTGCGCCACATTTATGGAAGGGCTGGAAGGTGATGAAAAAGGCAATTTCTTGGACAAATAAAGCATAAGGCACCAAGGAATGCCTTCAAGACTGCAGATAAAGTCTCTGGACATGCACAGAAAGACTGCTGGGAAGAACAAGCCCCCAGAGGGGCAGGTAAAATCCTTCGACATAGCAACAGCAGCGCCGGATGCTACCTGCTGCGAAGCCTCATCTTGCAGGGTCGAGCGGCTGCAAGTCTTTTTCATGGCCCTTTGGAGACACATCTTTTTCTGTCTTATTTTATTCAGCCTATATTTAAACTTCTCCCTCTGTTTGTCCACTTGACCCAGTGACGTAAAAGTCTGCCGACTCCTTTGATTCCCCTGGCAGTGTCCTGCATTTCCTGGGGCAGCGGTGTTCACTGGGTTTAACTCCTAGGGACTAAATAACAAGAATAAATAAAAGTATTAACCATAGCAGCAGCAAATCAAACTTTGCAAGGGCTCCCAGTGATGACTATTCAGCCTGTGGCTTGCGGCTAACACAGCATGAAGAGATGAACATTAATACAAAAGGACATTTTGTACCTCTGACATTGTGTGTGAAGGGCTTTTCACCTCTTCTAATCTAGGAACGTATTATAAGTGCTTTGAAGCTAAATCCTGCCTTTGACTCTGTTTTGGCTACAGCAGATGCTCACTGCTCTGGCGACGGAGCCATGTTAACAGGGAAGTCCGAGATGAGGAGAGATTCATGATGCAGTGTGATGCAGGATGCTCCCAGCCAGCATCAGTGACACCAGGAGAGCAGTGGTCCCCACCCACAGAATCTTTGCAGCCAAGAATGGACTCTGAATGGTTTCTCCTGGCCATCTGCTTGCCTTGTAGCGCTGAGCTCAGATGCTTTCTCTTTGTCGGCTGCAAGAGAAACTGTGCTATGAAAACCCCCAGTTTGCCCTGTGTGTGCTGCAGATGAGCCTCCTGTGGCCACTGGACAGTACTTGACCCTTTTGCCACTCTTCTCCCATTCCTTTTCCTGTGGAGATAGCCTTAAATCTAGCTCTTGTAAGGAGTATTTTTGCACTCCTTTGCTTGTCCCTTCTCTAGCTTTTCCTAATAGCTTTCTCTCAGTTTGGGAGCCACAGGAAACCAGTCAGAGTCATGGTCTCCCTGCAGCCTGTGCTGCCCCATGCTCCCTCCTTGGGAGAAGGCTGAGTGCACAAGAAAGATGCTGCAGGCTGAAAACTGGAGGATACAACTTTATTTGCCAGATTCTCACCCAGAAGGGAACCCTCACCCTCACAGACCCTCTGTATCTCAACTCTGGTCCATCTGCATGTACAACAGATGGAGGAAAGTTCAGCCTAAGTTAGCACAGCACAGGACCAGTGCCAGTGTGGAAAGGCCACTGGGGACAGTGATATACTCCAGAGACTGAACCCAGGATGGAAGCAGGGAAGCAGAGAACAGATAGTAGGAAGCAGAAGCTGGTGCTCTGGTTCTGCAAGGGTGACAGTAATATTAGTATTTGAGCAGCTGCTGATCATTATAGGCTGGGCAGAGAATGGCTCAAGAGCAGTCCCCAGGAGAAGGATCTGGGGGGGTCAGTTGATTAAAAACTCAACATGAGCTGGCAATGTGTGCTTGCAGCCCAGAAGGCCAACCACAACCTGAGCTGCATCAAAAGAAGTTTGGTCAGCAGGGCCAGGGAGGTGATTCTGCCCCTCTGCTCTACTCTCATAAGACCCCACCTGCAGTGCTGTGTCCAGTTCTGGGGCCCTCAGTATAAGAAGGACATGGAGCTGTTGAAGTGGGTCCAGAGGAGGTCACAAAGATGATCAGAGGGCTGGAGCAACTCTGCTATGGGGACTGACTGAAAGAGTTGGGGCTGTTCAGCCTGGAGAAGAGAAGGCTCTGGGGGGACCTTATTGTGGCCTTCCAGTTCCTGAAGGAATCCTACAGGAAAGCTGGGGAGGGACTTTTTACAGGGGCAGGTAGCAATAGCATGGGGGGAATGGCTTTAACCTGGAAGAGGGTAGATTTAGACTGGATATTAGGAAGAAATTCTTCACTGTGAGGGTGGTGAGACACTGGCACAGGTTGCCCAGAGAAGCCGTAGATGCCTCCTCCCGGGAAGTGTTCAAGGCCAGGTTGGACGGGGCTTTGGGCAACCTGATCTGGTGGACGTGTCCCTGCCCATGGCAGGGGTTGGACTGAATGATCTTTAAGGTCCTTTCTAGCTTAAACAAATCTATGATTCTATGATTATCCTCTCAATGGCATTTTTCCCAACCTCCGCATTTAAAGGGTGTCTCAGGAAAGCTGTGGATGTTTTAATGAAGCACCCTTCAGAAGAAAAGGGTCTCACCCTCCTGAACTCCAGGCTTGCAGGAAGCTCTCTGCCAAAGAACACAACGCCTTGTCAAAGTTTTCTTGCAAATGATGCTGAGACAGACCTTGAGAAACAATTACCTCTGTGCAATGAAGAAAAAAGAATTCCCCTGCGTATTCCTTTAATTTCCTGACTAACGTCATATGGAAACAGAGTGAAAATGGACTTTGTCACAGAGGAGGTTGCAGGGATGGCACGGACACACAAGGATGCTGCATAGGATGTACCTGTGCTCCACGCTGCCCTTGCTCTTGCAGATTGTCCTCTGGACAACCCTTGGCAATAGGAACAGAGCAAATGGCAACTCTCCCCCACCAGAGATGGCTGTGAGCTGGACATGTCTGATTCACTGGTATCTGCTTTCACTCCATCTAGTTTTACAGCAGACAGAGCATCTAAATCAATCTTACATCTGCTCCAAGGGAGAACACAACAAATCCCCAGCTGGGACCCAGTAGTGCTGTTAACTGGCGTGAGTGAAGCCGTTGGCTTTTCCCAGAATTCAGAGTCTGGGATAAGCATTTACATTTCTTTTCCTGCAGTCTCTGCTGTGAAGGGATGGGGGAGGGCAGAGTAGCAGAAGTTGCTTGAAACGGTCTGTTAAACATCTGAGAAGGGAAACCCAGGAGCTCAGAATTTGGAGCTCTGGCATCAAATTTGGAAAGGAAATAAACCAAGTTACTGGTGGAGGGTTGCAGAACTTTTTGTGGGTTGTGCAGAGGGATTTAATAGAGGTACATAAGCACAGGTTATATGGGAGCTTGAGGAGATCTGGGGAAACAGCACTGTCCACGGCAATGTGCATACAGCCCCTGCTCTTGCTGAGGGTGACCCCAGAGCACCAGCCTTGATGGCACTGCCCAGTTCCTCTTACTGCACAGAGCTATAGTGCTTCATCCACTCCCGCTCTCCAACGAGGAAGCTGTAGGGGGAGATGTCGATCCTGAGGACTAGAAGCAGCTGAAGATGAGGAACATCTGTTTAACAGCTGGGAACTGGAAATTTGAGGGTTTTAGGTCCAGGTGCCCAAACTCTTGGCTTGAATCCACTTGAATTTGCAGCATTGAAGATGGATGAATCCACACATCAGTGGAGAATGTTATTCCCAAGGCATCTCAGAGTTCACAAGGCAGTTTGGCAGAGAGCGGAGTGAAGTTTTTGCTGGAGCATGGGCCCTTCTGATGTTACAAATTGCAATGGAGGAGCACGCCAACAACCATGGCCATCAGACCGAGCACTGCAGAGTTGCTTCCCACCCCATTGCTGTTCCTGCTGTTGCTGGTGCAGAGGTCAGTGAAGCAGCACGTCGTGGGTTTGTTTGCCCCTATCTCATCAGAGGAGCGGCATACGACATCACAGCTTCTGGTCACAGTTATGTTGCCGAAAAAGGGGTAACCTGAAACAGGCAGATTGGAGAAGGGGAGAAGGAGATGAGAGAGAAAGAAATGGTGAAGGAAATTGTAGACAGCTGACATCAAGAAACACTAACTTTGTGCAGTGGAGGAGAATTAAAAGTGAAGTGTTTATAGGTAAATAAAGGCAAATAAGACGTTGACAGTCTCTAGTCCACAAGCACATATAATCCAGACCTTTGTATGAACAAGTCCTAGAGTTCTCCCTACTGACTTCTCTCCCTCCTGCTTCTTCCAAATTTATTCTAGCATGGGCAAGGGACACGAGTCCCTGTCTATGTTGTTTAGATGAGTTGCTCGTGCAGTGCCTCTGTATAGAAGGTGGCAATGCCAAGAAACACTAGTGTAATTCTGGTATGCTCACTGGTGAGACAGTTGGTGGTAGGTGAAAGCATCTACAAAAAAGGAGAGAGCTTCTGGGTTTCTGTGGTATGTTTACACACATCTATAGGTTCAGGGTCCATAAGGGTGTAGGAGTTGGAAAGGCAAAACAGACAGAGTAAACAGAGTGAGTCCTGTATGATCCACTGTGAGGTTCTGAATATGATGGGTTTCTCTCCTTCCCACTCTAAAGTTGGATAAATCCATCTGAATTCTTATAGAGAAGTTTAAGTGTAATCCAAGCTGAAACTGGGAGGGGGAAAGAAAAGCATGGTCAGCAGGTCAAGGGAGGTAATTCTGCCCCTCTACTCCACTCTGGTAAGACTCCACCTGGAGTACTGCTCTGGGATCCTCAGTACAAGATAGACAAGGACCAGTCTGAGCAGGTCTAGAGGAGGCCATGAAGTTGTTCAGAGGGCTGGAGCACCTCTGCTATGGAGACAGCCTGAGAGAGTTGGGCTTGTTCAGCCTGAAGGAGAGAAGACTCCAGGGAGACCTTAGAGCAGCCTTCCACTGTTTAGAGAGGACCTACAGGAAGGATGGGGAGGGACTCTTGATCAAGCAGTGTAGTGATAGGACAAAGGGTAATGGTCTTAAACTGAAAGAGGGTAGATTTAGATTAGACATTACAAAGAAATACTTTACTGTGGGGGCGGTGAGACACTGGCACAGGTTGCCCAGGAAGTTGTGAATGCCCCATCCCTGGCAGTGTTCAAAGCGAGGTTGGATGGGGCGTTGAGAAGCCTGGTTTGGTGGGAGATGACCCTGCCCATGGCAGGGGAGTTGGACTGGATGATCTTTAAAGTCCTTTGTAATCTAAATCATTCTATGTTTCCATGATCTCTCACCGCGAGCACTCACAGAAAGCAATGAAACTTACCTGAATCTACAGAGTGCAGTGTTGTCGTGCACACGGTAGAATTCAAGGGGCACAGGGAGGGTGTTCGGCACTTAGCGATGTCCATCGGTTCCTTGCATGTGTAACATCGTAAGGACTGGGCTGCAGAAAGAATCACAGAATCACAGAATATTAGGAGGTGGAAGGGACCTTAAAAGCTCATCCAGTCCAACCCCTGCCAGAGCAGGATCACCCAGACCAGGTCACACTGGAACACGTTCAGGCGGGTTTTGAATGTCTGCAGGGAAGGAGACTCCACAACCTCTCTGGGCAGCCTGGGCCATGCTCTGGCACCCTCACACTAAAGAAGTTTTTCCTCATGTTCAGATTGAACCTCCTATGCTCCAGCTTGCTCCCATTGCCCCTTGTCCTATCATTGGACATCACAGAGCAGAACCTGGCTCCATCCTCCTGACACTCACCCTTTACAAATTTATAAACATGAATGAGGTCTCCCCTCAGTCTCCTCTGCTCCAAGCTAAAGAGACCCAGCTCCCTCAGCCGCTCCTCATCAGGGAGATGCTCCACTCCCTCCATCATCTTTGTGGCTCTGCTGGACTCTTTCAAGCAGTTCCTGTCCTTCTTGAACTGAAGGGCCTAGAACTGCACACAACATTCCAAATGCAGTCTCACCAGGGCAGAGTAGAGGGGAAGGAGAACTTTTCTCGACCTACAACCACACCCCTTCTAATACACCCCAGGATGCCATTGACTTTGTTGGATGCAAGGGCACATTGCTGGCTAAGAATCAGGTCCAAGCTGGTTGCAGCAGCAAGGCAGACAGCAAGCCTGCAGCTTCTTGCTCTGTAGTATTGGCTATGTGATGGTCAGGCCCCTGCATCCCTCCTTGTCCAAGCTGCGGTGGTATTGGAAACTAAGCACAACTGGACACAGTGGCAAATCTTGTATCTGTCAGGAGGGAAAGACCAACCCCAGCACCAAATGCCAAGGATGATATTGCAGGAGTTTAGCCTGATCACTACTTTGGGGACCCAGAAACCCAAAAATAGCAGGGATCTAGAGGGATCTACTGCTTGAGCAGCTTCAATAGGATCTTTACATCGTCTGTAGGAAATGCTGTAACACAGAGCAAAATAGCTCCTTCTGTTGAGAGCATCATTCATCAGCACCGAATGACTGGCAGTCCTCCCATCCCTCCACCCACAGTGACAGCTCCTTCGTGTTTATTTAGAGGGATTTCTGCAGAACTTAGTAACTGAGAGCAGAATTTAAATTTCAAAGCTGTATCAGAGATCCTAAGGGCTGAAGAATGTGATCTAAACCTCACTTTCATCAAGGACTACTGCTGCTTTTTAAAAGAGATGACGCTACAAAGCTCTTGCTGTCTTCCTGCCAACACAGGGACACCTTTACATATGCAAACATTGATCTCAGCAGTTGCTCAAAAGTCTCGGTATGAGACCTATCCGTCGGCAGCCAGTAGATACTGAGTGTGCATATTTTTCAGAGTCGTGCTGGTGTGACTTGATGACAGAAACCAGCCTGGTTTGGTATTTTCTCTTTTACGTGCCTTCTAGCGACACAGAAGCTGAAGAACCACCCGTATGTGTCCACTGCCATCTATTGGTAAAATTGCAGAGAGACGATGTTTTCTTATAGTTCTGCAGCATCTGCTGTATAGAGAGAAACCTCTGGGAGTCTGTGATAAGGACAGACTTTGAAGGCAGCTGTTTGAACATCTGACTCCAGAAAGAAATTTCTAGGCATCTACTTTTCTTAGCACCTCCTTTGGAAAATTCAACTGTGCAATACACCAAAAGCTTTCTTTGTTTTTGCAGAGGTAGGAAGAACTTGTTAATGTGAGCAGTGGTGATGTTCTTCTGGCCATATCCTTTGTAGACAGGTGTGGTGGAGCTGTCCCTGTTTACCTGAGCTGCGGACCTCAGTAGATCCCTTCTGAATGACCCATGAGAGGTTGTTTCATATTTTAACATGTAGTGCACACTGAGAGAGAAAACACAACATTGTCAACCTTGCAGGCACAGGGATGTTTGTGAGTGCATAGGACTGGCTGATGTATGGGTGGAGCAGTGCTAGTTAAAAACATCTGAGGAACAGATCTGCAACATTTAGGTTGAGCTGGTTTCTAAACCTCATCATTTTCACGGGTGATCAGGGCTCTGTAGGACTTACTTCCAGTTAAGGGAAAGTTTAAGGAAGAAAATAATCAACTGCTTATCTTTCTTTGACTCTAGTTGGGGCACTCGGAGGATATTTGTTTTGTAAGAAGGTTGTAGTGGAACAGGAAACCCCAAAACTATAAGGACCAGAGCAAAAGAGAACTGAACACAGAAGACAGTGCTGTGTCCTTATCTGAGGCTAATAATGCACCGTTCATTGCTGTACAGCACCCTTGATTTCAAACCTCTAGAAAATGTGTCATATATTTTGGGTCACAGACATATTCCTGAGCTGCAAGAGCTATGCCTAGACCAGCTGCCTCCCATTTCTGCCTTGGTCTCAACTATAAAGCAAAGGGTGGTAATGCCTCTCTGTGACCATAAAGCACTTTGAGATCTGTGGGTGGAAATCCACTCTGTCAGTTACTCAACAACCCCATTCAATCCAGAAGAGAACTAGACACAGAAGGAAGAAAAGAAACACATAATACACCACCTGTGGAAAAGAAAGAAAGAAAGAAAGAAAGAAAGAAAGAAAGAAAGAAAGAAAGAAAGAAAGAAAGAAAGAGAGAAAGAAAGAAAGAAAGAAAGAAAGAAAGAAAGAAAGAAAGAAAGAAAGAAAGAAAGAAAGAAAGAAAGAAAGAGAAAGGGAGGAAGGAAGGAAGGAAGGAAGGAAGGAAGGAAGGAAGGAAGGAAGGAAGGAACCAAAATGTGAAAAATTGCAGTAGCTGCGGGTTTGACCCAGAGTGTGTCCCTCAGCCAACAGTGGGGTTGGCTTTAGAGACAGGTGAAAGGAGGAATGAGGGTAGGGAGATTAAAAAAAGCAATGCAGTCTGAAGAAGAAAGCGAACACACTTCCAGAGGTAAAGACTTGCAGGGTGTATGCCTTTCAGCTTTCTTCTACTTCCAACCCTCTGAATGATTCTCCAGATGGAGGTGTTCGACCTTTCCTTTGAGATCTTCTAGAGTCACATGAAAGCAGCCTGAAGATCTCTGGGGCCCATGGGCTGCAGGTTAAAAACCTCTGCTTTCGTGTCACCCCAAGGATGACTCTGTTCCAGGCCAAGGATGTACTTGCAGCAGGTCACAAATAGATGGAGTAAGAACACTGCAATGACCAAACCCTGCTGCCAGCTTGCCCAAGATCCAGACCCATCAGAGACCAAACCCAAACAGACCCAGGGGAATTTCCAATTTCCACCTATTACCTAATCTCTAGAAATAAGTGAAGACCCTGGAGCTGGTGGTTTAATGAACCTTTCCAAAGTCCTTGGAGTTATTTATCATACTCTTACCCGTATCTGTGCTGAAGCTTTGCCCTCTGGTTTTCAGCATTTCCAGCAACCAACTAGGAGGTTATAGGGATGGCAGGAGCTCAGGATGAACAAACTTCATCCTGTTCCTGAGGGTACAGGTTGGCAGCTTAAGTAGAAGCTGAAGGTTCAAGTTCTTGCTTATGCTTGTAGTGCCGTGTGCCATATGGCTGTCATTTATACCTTAATCTTCTAATCAAAGAATCATAGAAATATCTAGTTGGAAAAGACCTCGAAGATCATCAAATCCAACCATAACTTGTCCACTACTAAACCATGTCTCCAAGAATAAGGCAGCGTGTCCATCCCCGTCATCTTAGGGTATGGTGTGAGCAGGGTCGAGTCACAGATGACCACCCATGTGCCTGAATGATGTGCATTGCTCTCAGTCAGGTGTCACACCTCTCCCCATCAGGAATCATACTCCCTGACCCCATTCACCCTCTCCATTGACTTTAAATACATAAAGGTGTTATTTCCACTATCCGAGGATTATGAGGTCTTTCTGCAAAGATTCCTTTCCCCTCCCCTCCCAGGCATTTCCCAGGGGGTCATTGCAGTACCAGGAATGCAGTGGTCTTACCCAACTCCACATATGCCAAGCCAAGCAGGAGTCCAAACAGAAGTGTCTTCATGCTGAGAGCAGATCAGTGCAGCCGGGACAGTAAAGGAGAGCTACTCCCTGGGAGCTTTATATGTTTTCCCACCCTCCACCTCCTGTTGGTCCTGTGGGCGGATTCCCTTGTGGTGATCAGGGCTCAGGTCCAGTCTGGATTGGGATTTGTAGAGGAACAAGTTCCCCAAGAAGGTGACGTCACTACAGACTCCTGCCATATGCTGTCTCTTCTTCAGGTTTGTGTCCTGGGGCCAGTCCCATGGAAAAGAAAAAACACAGTTTACACTGTAAGAGGTGGCCTCATGCCAGTGCTTGGATAGGGAATGTGACAAGGTATGTTTGTTCCTTCAAATCTGCATTAGGCAACACTAGTCAAGATGCAAGTGGCAGCAGGCTGGGCTGGCATGCACATTGGCTCAACCTCACCAAAACCTGTGCCATGCTTTCATGCCTACTTCTTCCTGGGCTGGCAGATGGCAAGCTGCTGTGGCTGGGTTTGCCCAAAGCATTTTTTTTTCCCCAAATCCAATGCAAAAGCAAGCCCGGTTTCTGGCTTCCAGTGTCTTAGTTATGAACTGAGCCCTGGTGCTAAGTTGCTGGGCGTGAGAGTCACTGAAAGGCCAGTGGAGGTGAGCGTGGGAGATGGTGCTTCTGAGTCTAGAATTTGGATATGCCAATTTGTTTCAGGTCCCAAGTCATGCTGACAGAGCAGGCACTGTGCTTTCTTTTGTAAAGGTGTTAACTATCTACCAAATCTTATTCTAAAGCTGGGAGATAATCCCAACATGGAGAAATAGCCCTATTTCCCACTGCAGGACCTTCCTGATAGAAAGTTTCTCTTTATGCATATCCCATACACAAAGTTTTACTTTTATGCATGTCAAGGCAATCCTTTCAAAACTAACTTTTTCATATCTTACACAATAATTATGGAAACAGCTTAAAAATCCTCCAGTTAGGGAGGAATACTTTGCTTCTGCTTTTGACTGAGCCAATGGCATTTTATATTTAATGGGAAAAGCTGATAGACTTTCTGTTGTTTTTGTTGTGATCCAGGGTGGAAAACCCCAGCATTATGCAATTTCCCATAAAACAGCTAAATAAGCCACAGAGAAAAAGATTGTGAATCACTGTGAAGTAGTCAGAGACTTCAGGGATGGAAACAAGGTGAGTGGACAAGCTGATTTAATGACTGGGGGTTTGCTTGTCACAGGCTCATTACAACAGTGCATGTGGGCATTCCCAGCAGCCTATCATTTTTCTCAGTTTGAGAATGGGGCTTTTTGGGAAAGTGCTGCTCCCTAAAGGGTTCACAGTAACTCGAGAAGCATTGCTAATGAAAATTTCCACAGTCATGGATGACCCAAAACTGATTGAGCTGAGGCAGCAGGATCAGTACTGTACCGTGGGAAAGGGAGAGAAAGATGTGCACCCTAATGCTTGGTTGACTGTGAGAGTGAAAGCTGTTATTTATCTTCATTTTATCTTGCTGTGCTGTCAGAGACCAGTTACATAAAGAAAAAGCAGCGCAAACATTCCTCCCTGGGTATATAGGAAAGACTCTGCTCTGTGAAAGCCACCAGACCTGGTTACATCCAGATCCCTTCTCGTAACTGAGCAGTTCAAGGTATATTTGAGCAATAGCTTAATTAACAGCCATGAAACTGGAAAAGATCCAATGCTTTAAGCATTCAAGGTGGTTATGTCACAATAAGTAAGCACAGCAGGGTTGATATTCTGGTGTTCACAACACTAAAAAGCTGCTTGGCAGATTGTCTGTAGCTTGCAGAACTAGAGATGTCCACATAGGCATGTTGTAATGGTCTGCCTGTGCTTGAAAGGCATTGCACACTGAGAAATCTTTGGAATCAATCAGTGTGGTTGAAGGAATAGTGATATAAATAGGGAAATAAATGAGTCTGTACAGCTTGGTGAAGGCTGTTGATCACTGTGCTATCCAACACAAGATGCATCAGCATGATAGGATTGTTTGCCGTTGGCTAGTGCAAAGCCACTTAACTATGTCCAATGGCTTGAATGGGTTTGAGATCTGGCCGTAAGGCAGAGCATTGGGAAACCACCAGAGCTGAGGTTGTTAAAGCACCTACAGACTGGCTAAGTGTGTGGGAGTGCCAGACTTTAGGGAGGGAGAAGCTGGGAGCCTGCCAGTAGAACTGCGGAGGAAAAGGAAGACCTACCTATCTTGGTTGATGTAAAGATAACTAGGAGACTCCAGTGAGGTGGAGCCCTGGAAACAAAACCAAAACCAAACACAAACAAACACAGGTGATATCAAGTTGTGTCTTAGGGTGTAAGGGAGGCAGTTAACAGGGTGATTTTGGAAGTGCTAGCACCCTGCCATGAAGCCTTGGTGGGTTTTCACCTGGAATTTCATTGCTCTGTCAAGAAAAAATAAGGTCCTGATGAAAAAAAGTAAGGCAATTGGAAACTAATGGGAAGACTGGGAGAACAGGATGCACCTCAAAATACAGCAGTGGAAAAAACTGACCCCTTTAGTTTGGCAGAACAGGTTGAGTGGAGATATGATTTTTCCTCCCACAGAAATGCATTGAAAGAATAGAAAATTGAGCTACAGGAAGAAAATGTACTTGAACTAAAATGTCATGGTGTACTAGAGCTAAGACTAGCATGAGTTAAATTAGGCTGACAATCGGAGGTAGGGAGTTAAACACTAGGAAGAATTGGGTTCCTTGTCCAATCATATCCAAGCAAAGGCAGGGTACAAATCCCAGATGTTTTAAGATAGAGCTTGATAAATATGTGAAAGAAGTAGTTTGATGTAACAGTTAGGACAGTCTTAGACAGCTCATAGGACTCAGGAGGACCTAAATTCCCATCTGTCTTTGGCAATAGTGGAATAAACCCTGAGCAAGGTTTTGAACACTGACTGACAGGAACCATAAGGGACTCCAGTTGAAATGTCATTTGAGGTCTGAAGATCTGAGAATATAAATGAGGTGTGGTGTGTAGGGAGAAAAGCTCGTGTGCCAAAAGCCACTCTGAATTTTCAATGGTGGTATCAATCCAAAACCACTACCAGCCTGTTCCTGTGAGACTGTCCTTATTTACAAGGTAATTTAGGTAGATACAATCTCTCTCTGCTTATCACATATGCAAGGAAAGGCAGGTGACGTAAAATGAATGTTCACAGGCAAGGAGGCAATGTACTTTATAACTATCTGATCTAACTTCTGTTACAGTCAATTACTGTTTGAATGAAACAGAAACAAAATTTTTTAGAAATGTTCTGTAACAGAGTTTACGCCAAGCTTTTATAAGCTGTTCCAGTGGTCAGTTATCAGCAACGTGTAAAATAACCCCTGTGTAAAATATTTCTACTCTGATTTATACAGCTTCCAGAGCCAGTGGCTCTCATTACGCTGCTTTACTAAACTTAACTGCTTGCTCTTGCAACTTCCTTCTCCTTCACGGAAATGCAGTTTGTGTAGGATATCCCTTTGATAGACTTCAGCAGCCTCTTTGACTCCTCTCCTGTAAGGTCTGTCCTCCAGAGCTTTAATCCTTCCAGTGGTCTTTCTCCAAACTGTCTCTGATTTATCATTTCCTTTCCTGCATTGCTCAACCCAGAACGAGATGTTGTCTTGTAGCAACAGCCACTCCAGTCCCAGGGATAAACAAAACGTATTCTTCTGTCATAAGATGAGCATCAAACAACTCTGTTTGACATTGTGGCCATGGCATTGTGACCATGACATTGATCTACCTGATGTCAATGTCTTTCTTTGGAGCTGCTTCTCAAGGTGGAGTCTATCACCAGGTTTCCCGATATAATGGTGATGGCTGGAGTATATGAAAATAGAGACACTACTGATGATATTAGTCAGCCAACTTAAGTTCAGCTCCTGTGATTCAGGGAGGTTAAATTTTTGCTGTGAAACTTTTGGATGACTGTGACTGTGGGCTTTAACTTCTTCATCTGTGACTCAGCAGTGGGAAACCGTGCTGCCCGTGACCATGGCTGCAGTGATGCTTGATGTTGTGCTTGGCTAATCAAAGCTCCCACCTTTCATGGGTGTGTGCTAAAAACAAGACTATAGGATTGTTCGGGTGGAGTTGCTCTCCACCCTCCTGATGAAACTCTACCATTGGGCAGAAAGGAATGCAGGTTTCATTGGGTTGGAGAAGGGTGAAAGTATGAGCATGACTAGGAGCTCTTTAGGTTTTCCAGGGGCTGTTTGATACAAAACACGTGTCTCCACACAGGGGAGTATCAAAGAGAAATCCAGACTCCCAGCACTGACTCAGTTAATCTGTAAAGAGCTCTTACCCCTTTTGTCCCATGTGTGTGCTTTATTTTGGTAGTTTGCACATCTTGTCTGAAGAAATGAGACAGGAAATCGAACCTTTCCAAGCAGTGAGGGAAATTGTGTTCACATCTTCCAAATTCTAGCTGAAGCACACTAGCCTCTATAGGCTAAAAAGCAGGTGCATTTCTGCAGATGGGACAAGATCCTCCAATCCAGATGTATTTTTAGATAAAGGACTAAGCTATGTTCAGTTCTCTGAGATAAAAAATAGGAGTCTGGGGACATGGACTCTATGTCTACAAGTTCCTCTTCCAGCTGCAAGGTTGAGGACAATCCCTTCAGGCTTCAGCTCACCAGATGTGTTTGGTCAGTGTGGGGAACACAGGTTCCTCCAAGCATTTGCAGAAGATGTGCAAAATGTCCAACACGTGGTTCTAGACTGCACTACAGAGAGGTGGATAGCCATAAGTCAGGCAAGTGTCTTTTAGCTTCTATCAGTCCTATCAGGGACTTGAGGACTTGGCATGGCGTTTGACATGGTCTCTGGCTCTGTTAGGGCCTGAACCCACTGGATCTGTCCCAGGAAATGCCCAGGCACTCTGAAGCATAGCATGGGCCAAGGATGTTTCCAGTGAGGACACTCTGGTTGGAGGAATAAGAAAGTTCAGTTATGCAGGTGTGAGCTGCGACAGTTGTCGTCAGGAACAAAGAATGGAATTTGACCCATTTA